GCGGGAACGACCAGGGAATCAGCGTCAGACCCGGGACGGCGACTGGCAGCTGACGTTTACTGCGTATTTGCTTTGGGAGCAGGTGCTACGCTAAGGTCTTTATAGGTATCAATGCCCTTAATCTTCAAAAATATGTGTGAAGAAATTATGAACAAAAGTACTCCAAATCTGATGGAAATCCACATACCCAAGAAGTTCAGCAAGCCCCAAGCACAGGAAACAAGCAGGCGCGCATTACCACGTGACAGCGGCGAGGGAAGGACCGCGGCCCCGCGGAGGCGCCAGGCGGGGGGCCCTTCGTGCTGGACCGCGGGAGCCCGAGGCAGCCGTCAGCATCTCTGAAGTGCGAGAAGCGCAACGTGCCCCTCTGCAGCTGTAGGCCGCGTGAAAACGTGTTTCAGAGACGAGGAGAAGTCTTTTCCACACGTGGCGCAGGGGCGACTGGATGTCCACGTGCAAGAGAAAGGAAGGGAACACCACCTTGGACCACATAAAAAAAAATCTCAAAAAGGATCAGAGATCTAAATGTAAAAGCTGAAACTGTACAACTTTAGGGGGGAAAAAAAACAACAGGGAGAAATCTTGGAGTAGGCAGTGATTTCTTAGATATGACAACAAAAGCACAAGCAACCCAAGAAACTAACAGGTAAATTGGACTTTATAAAATTTAAAACTTAAGTGCTCCAAAGGACATCATCAAAAAAGTGGAAAGAAAGATAACCACACAGAAAGGAGGAAAATATTTGTCGGCTATATATCTGATAAAGAGTAGAGAGAGATAAATTTGGGTGCCTAGGGTAGATCAAATTATGAAAATCAAGCACAAGAATTTAGATATAGTAGAGTCAAACACAGACTGGCCATAAAACTAAAGAATCTGGAAGCAAGTGCCCTGTTCTGAAAGCCAAGGAGAATGGAGTTTTGTGTTAAGCATGGCCAGTAGGGTTAAGTCCTTCCTCACAATTAAAAAGCCATACCAAAGGGTATGTTCTTCTGGGAGTGAGTCAGGTACAAGGCAAAGCCTTCTATCAGCATGTTCTATTTGTCTTGTCTTGGTAAATATCCCCATTTCCATTGTACAAAGAAAGAAACTCAAACATCTGAAATTGCCACTAGTATATAAGCTTATATAGAAGTTCCTGTTTCCGGTTCTGCCTAATTTACCTTGGCACTATTTTTACAGAAGTCAAATATTTGGTGCTATGAAACAAATGCAGGACAGGGTGGGGCCTGTATAACTCAATTTCCACAGCATAGACTGGTTTTATCCATTCCATTTTTCAGATATGAATTGCTTCCTTACAGGACAACAGGGGAGGCAAGGAATGTAGTCAGAAGAGTTAAGCTAGGTATCAGAAGACTAATCCTGTGACCCTAGGCAAGTCATCAAATTTTCTGTGTCTGAGAGTCCTCATAAAATCGGGGCTAATGTTAACACTTCGTGGTGTTTCTTTAAGAAGCAAATAAGATCACATACTAAAGGTTGTCCATTTATGTTGTTTAAAAAATTATACAGCAGTATATCTGGCTCTTAGCCAGCAGGCATGGTTGATGGTGCAACAGGAGTCTCAGCAAATCAATGACTTTGTCACAAAGGAGACTTTTTAGATAGAACCTACCCTGTTCACTTCCCTTGTTATGGAAAGTCAGCATCTAGGGTAACTTCATCCCAAGCTGTGCTCAGCAGTTCAAAAGCGCCTCCTGGAGGAGATACTAAGAACTGAGGGGAAGAAAATAGGTTCTTGAGGATGACACACAAGCACAGCCCACCCCTTAGCAGATCACACATACAGACAAAGCTCACCTCCTGAATCCTCAGCATTTTAATTGATGCATTCAGTATAAAATAAGGAACATAAATACCATTATGAAGACTACTCAAGTGTGGATATTGAGCAATTGGATTCAGAAAGAGTAAGAGTTCCCTGCAGGTGTAAAAGCTCATTCCTATTTCAATCTGCATCAGATAGGAAATGGTATGAGATACATTACAGGATAAATGAATGACATCAAACCATAATGATTAAATAAAGGATCTAAACCTGATATTTCCCTTATTTCTCGCTGGCTTTCTAGAACATTGCTGTTTTATATTGTGTGTTTTTTGTCATGCCATTTCTTTATCTTATTTATGCTATTGGATGCAATATAGCATGGTCACTTTCATTTTAGTCTCTTCACCCAACACATTTTTTAAAAAATATATATCTTTATTGATTTCAGAGAGAGGAAAGGAGAGGGAGAGACAGAAACGTCAATGATGAGAGAGTCATCATTGATTGGCTGCCTCCTGCAGGCTCCCAACTGGGGATCGAGCCCGAAACCTGGGGCATGTGCCCTGACCAGATATTGATCCGTGATTTCCTGGATCCTAGATCGATGCTCAACCGCTGAGCCACGCCCTGCCAGGCCACCCAACACATTTTCTACCAGAATTGAACTGTGGGAAAGGGAGGGGGTAGGTAGGGCATATAAAGATATTTGTTATTAACTTTTCCTCTTTGACCTATTGTTACCTTGAGTTGCCTAAGAACATTAAGGTAAATCAGAAATTTCTTCCCCATTTTTGTGAAAGCATGAATTTCTAGCTGTGTAAAATCAGTGCTGGGTTGGTTTGGGTGAAATGATACTTTACGGCAAGGGAAGAAACGTAGCCATACCAAGCCTTTAGACTAGAAGCCTGTGTCCATTTATTTTATTTGTGTTCCTTCCTGGACCAGATCATCACTTGGGTGGGCCTTGACAGTGGAGTTAGAGCACAGCTTGAGCGAGGCCAAGGACTTAGGACACAAGGAACAGTGGAAGGAAGTTTTCTTGCAAGCTCATAGCTACTGCGTGGTGTTTATGAGGACAACACGGAATCAGGTATTCGGAGCAAGGAATTCCTGCACAGACTCTCACTAGACCCTTCAGTCAACTCTACGATACTCTGATTCTGCCCAAATGGCTCACTTTTGGGGGAGGGAAGACTCAAGATCCCGGTGGCGGCCCATGCCATTAGTTGTGCAGCCCTGCAGAACTGCTGTGATGACTTTAAAGCTGCCCCCTTGAACTTTCACTCCTTAGGCCTACTTCTGTTGACTCGGATGTTTTGAAATAGTAGCCTGGCCCTTCGTTCACAGGTCGGCCTTCCACATTTTGGAGACACATACTGTGTTTCCATGGGCCTCTGCTTTACCAGGGCCGCCTTCCCTGGAACTCCCTATCTTCCTTCCCAACCCTGTTTCATAAAAAGCTAGTCAACGTTGCCCATGTCAGTGACTCCAGGCCAGTCTGCAGAACCAGCACTGAGAAGGGAAGAAATAGTCTTGCCCAACTTTTGGGGAGGTAGTCAAGGGTCCCCCAAGTGCAAAGCTAAGCTTTAATAAAAGAGAAGAAAGATTTCAAGAAAGCAATGAAAAGGCTATGCAGATTTGTTCACTCAGGACCACCAGCCCACTTCTCGGGCTCGCGCAGCGCGCTCCGGAGTCAAGAAAACGCCTAAACAAAGGTGAGTTACTCGGCTAAAGGGACTTTAAGCTCTTTGGACTGTTCACCCCGTGCCCCGGGCTACACTCGATGCCAAGCTGCAGTGAGAGCAACGGGAGGGCGGGCCTTCGACATCACTTCCGGGTTTCGGGGGCGGGGCCGAACGGGGGTAGGGGGCCCCGGTTGGCTGCGCCGCCGGAGGAGGAGTTAGGGGCGGAGCTGCGTCTGCGCACCGCCTGGGAGCCGGAGGCGGGTTTTGCGCATGCT